TTTAGAGATTCGCTAACTCGATAAAATTGAAATAACAGGTCAGGCTCGGCACCGAAACGGGTTCGAGAGTAGTAAAATTTGCTGTTGTGGGACTGTATTCTATTATTTTGGTTTAGGATTTACTCAAAATCTCCCTCTTGCAAGTGTTGTAAGTACTCTACACTACGTACATTTCTTTTGGTTAACGAAAACGTTACTCGATCTGCTGTTCTACTATTCTGATCGTTCCTTTTTCTCCAGATTCTTTGTGCTATGACACTACCAATGGGAAATTTAGTGGTTAGTTTTGTTGAGAAGAACCATATGGTGAGCTAATTAATATTTTAATTTTTTCAAGGCTAATTTCTACTATAAATAATTGTTTCATTTTATAATTGGATGTTGATTGTGTTTGTAGGATAAAACAAAGATATTCATGGGGAAGTATTTGTGTGTGAGGTTGCACACTGTTTTTGGGGCTGCTTTGGCTGCTGGGCTTGTAGTGGCTAGAAAGTTTGCTGTACAACAACTTCCACAAGCTATTGTTCTTTAATGCATGTGTTCTTCTCATCAAGAAAATATGTTGGGAGTGAGTTGCCTTGTTAAAACTATCATATCTTAAACATTACATGGATATGTATTATGGAAATAAATGTATTTTTTTTTTCAGTTTTATGATTTTAGGAAAGTCGATTTTTTTTTTTAATTATGAAAGTTTCTAAAATGTTATAATAATGTTAAGGGGTTTTTGTGCATAAGTACCCAACTAGGGGTGGAAATCGGACGGATCGGATCGGATTTGGGTGTTTCGGAAAATTTCCGATTTTTTTCGGAAGTCCAAAACGCCTTCCAATTCCAATTCCGATTTTTTCGGAATTCAAAAATTGATTCCGATTCCGATTTTTTCGGAATTTTCGGAAAATCGGAATTTTTCGGAAATCTTCATTTTCGGAATTTTCGGAAATTTTCAGAAATTTTTCGGAAATTTTCGGAATTTTTTCGGATTTTTTCGGGAATTTTTCGGAATTTTCCCAAAAAATAAAATAAATAAATAAATAAATTTTTTTGAGTTTTGACTCTTGTATGTTTTAGAAAATTAAAAAATAATAATATGTTCAAATATATATATATATATATATATATATATATATATATATATATATATATATATATAAAATAATAAATGGAAAAATATTAGTAATATACTAATATATATTACTAGTAATTAGTACAGACTGCGGATAGATATAGACATATAGTATATATTATATGGGGCAATATGCCAAACACCCTTCATGAAGATTTTAATTCAAGATAAATCCTTTATTTATAAATGATATTTGACATAAATCCAATGGGCCTAAAAAACCATATATGCCCCCACTAATTATTAATTAGTATAATTATTTAATTTAAAAAACAATTATACCCATAATCTACACACAAATCTTCTCCAAAAATTATTCCCCTAATCACGCTAATTTAGTTTTTTTTTCCTTTTCTTTTTTATTTTGTTTAATGATTTTCTTTATTTCTATTTAAAAAAAATTGTAATTATTTTATTTTTTTTTTATTTTTTTTTTATTTTCGGTTTTTTATTTTAAATTATTTTTTTCTTATTTATATTTTTCGTGTTTTTTATTTTAATTTTAAAAAAATGGTTTTATTTTTATTTTCGTTTTTTTTCAGTGTTTTTCTTTTTTCTTAATTTCGATTTTTTTTTAAAATGGTTTTGTTTTTTTTCTTTTCTTTCCAGTTTTTTTAAATAAAAACCACTCTATATAAACATGAAAACCACTATGTATAAACCGCTATATAAATATGAAAAC